AATAGAATGATGGTCCAGTGGCCGACATCCTGTGTGTATCATAAACAAATAGAATAGTGCTGGTCGGCCAACTTTTTGTCCTGGTCGGGAAATTCAGAGTGCCGGTCGCTAGCGACCGGCGCCGACCAGCGTGGGCAGATCCCTGCATGCTCGTAATGTATGTCTGTCGTAGCAGACTACATTCTAGTAATGTATGTCACTCTGTCGTAGCAGATTACATGCTAGTAATGTATGTCACTGTCGTAGCAGATTACATGCTAGTAATGTATGTCACTCTGTCGTAGCAGATTACATGCTAGTAATGTATGTCACTCTGTCGTAGCAGATTACATTCTAGTAATGTATGTCACTCTGTCGTAGCAGATTACATGCTAGTAATGTATGTCACTCTGTCGTAGCAGATTACATGCTAGTAATGTATGTCACTCTGTCGTAGCAGATTACATGCTAGTAATGTATGTCACTCTGTCGTAGCAGATTACATTCTAGTAATGTATGTCACTCTGTCGTAGCAGATTACATGCTAGTAATGTATGTCACTCTGTCATAGCAGATTACATGCTAGTAATGTATTTCTGTCATATCATGTTACTGACACAGATGGGTGCATTCATTGAGACTAGACCGACTACTGCTGTGTGATGATATGCTGTATTTGCTCTATTAGAAACCAAATTCTTCAATACCTAGAATCATTAAAATCTTGCTGTATTTATGTTGTAATATACTAATATGGTATGTATTGGTGTTGAAATTTACTATATTTGTTCCAATAGAAGCATATAAACCAAAAACGAAGTTTATGGATTGCTAAAGCGTTAAAACATGACTTAATGTGTTGATAGAATAAAATTCGATAGTATTAAAATTTCTTTAGTGCTGAAATGCAGTACTTTATAGCCATTGCTTTGTGTTAACATAAGTTGTCTGTTGTAGGATTATCTATTGGTCTGTTACCTGTGGATAGTGATGATAACTTCAGTGATAGGACCATAACACCTGTCGCATGGCATAATCACTGTCCCAGAGACTCAGACGGTGAAGGATTTATACCAGATAGTTTAGAAGAAAAAATGATACCACAAGATAATTTAGGTTAGTGTTATTAGTTTGAGTAGCTTATTACTGATTTGTCCATTGACCATCTGTCAACTTTCACAACTGTTTCTCCAAAACCATAAACAAAATTAAATTAGTATTGTAATAAAATTAATAATGCCTGTTTTATGTAGTGTCCAAATCCTCAAAAAAGTTGTGCTGAAGTCGCTGAGTGATATCGATTATTACCCTTGTGATCATTCTCTTCATAAACGCCACATTCGTCACAATGCTCATGCTCAGTTCCATCATATGCATCAATTGATATCAAACTTGATATAGTGACCAATTTTGACTGAAATTGGCATAACTATATTTTTGTGACTACAAACGCCTTTATCTTGAAATAGGATGCTGCTTCAATTTATCAATGCTGAAATTCTCATCACTTTCCAATGTGGCTGTTAATTCTAGGTGTGCGTGGTGCTGCCACTGGTATAGAGTCTGATGGAAGTGAAATCAACACAGATGATGAACTGGAAGCAGCTAGAAAGGTCAGTTCTTAAATTAGCTTATTACCGTATTTATCCAGGTAAGAGCTCATGCCCCGGCAAACGCTCACCCCCCAATTTTGATACAATAAAGAAATTTAGGTCATGTTCAAGCATAGGGGGCCTTTTTCTATAAAACTAATTTTTGACTCCTGTGTGCGAAGCACAAAAGGGAGTCTTTGCAGTTACCCTGTCTGTATGTCTGTATGTCTGTATGTCTGTATGTATGTATGTATGTCACTTTTTTTGTTCCACCGTTATCTCAAGAACCACTAATCAAATTTTGGTGAAACTTGGTACATAGATGCTCTGGGATAATGCGCAGAGTTGATTAGGTTTTGGTAAAAATCTATGAATATTAATTACCTAATTTGCATGATAATTAGCTGATTTTTAGCTGTTCCAAGACTGTTCCACTGATATCTAAAGAACCACTCATTGGATTTTGATGAAATTTGGCACATGGATGCTCTGAACTAGTGCGCAGATTTGATTAGTTTTGGGTAAAAATCTATGAATATTAATTACCTAATTTGCATGATAATTAACTGATTTTAAGCTGTTCTATGACTGTTCCACTGATTTTTGAAGAACCACTCATTGGATTTCAATGAAACTTGGCACATGGATGCTCTGAACTAATGCGTAGATTTGATTAGTTTTGGGTAAAAATCTGTTAATATTATTAATTACCTAATTTACATAATGATTAATCAATTTTCGGCTTTTCCACTGATATCTCAAGTACTAATCATAACATTTCAATAAAACTTGGGACACTGCACATACCTGATAGTTTTTAGGGTAATATCAGTACATATTAATTACCTAATTTGCATAATTAATTAATTTTCAGCTTTTGATATTTCGAGTAGTAATGATCACGTTTCAATGAAACTTGGTACATAGTTACTTGAGGACTGTGCAGAGACCTAATTAGTTTTGGGTAAATATTTGTGCATATTAATCACCTTATAGCATAATTAGTTAATTTTCAGCTTTTCACCTGATATCTCAGTACTA